GCCTCGGAAAACTGTCAAACCCTATAGGCGTTAGGCCTTTCTGCTCTCTGACCTGTGATCCACTACAAAGGTTGCGTTATACTACTATTCGATTGAATACTAAAACTGCTGTATCTTATTCTTCTGGATCGGACTAGCAGTAGTGGCTTTGAAAATCCTTAAACTATGCAACACAAGTTGGTATAAAAGCTAGCATTTCCTCTTTTCCAGGGAGAAAATCGGGATACCTCCGAGCTTTTTGCTCTTGGTAATGATTTCATGTTACTAATATAGTCTCCTGTTGCTATTAATGCTGTTTTGATAATCGAGTGGAAAAACAAAAATAAATAAAATTTGTGGACCTTGGTAGAGTCTAATCAAATGTCCCATCAGAGTATGTTAAGCTATTGAGCATACATACAATATTATCAGAATACGATGCTCCCGAACAATTGATATAGATGCTTTAAAAGGAAAAATTGCTATCTTTTGCAACTCTAATAAACGATGTTTTGAAGCCCCAACGTTCAATATCACTGATTTTACATAATCCTTGTCCCTGCGGCTTATCGGAGCAAACAGATGTCCCGCCTATCCCATTTCTCCTCTGACCACCAAATCGCTGTCCTCTACTTGTATTATAATTATGTCGAATAAGACGCTCGAGTAGGGGTTGCCGTAGCAACCACGATACTGGTAGATGATGAATGGTTGGGAAAAGTGACGACGCCCTAGAATGGTCTGCTCCACCTAGAAAGTTGGCAGCCGGTATTTATCGTATAAAATGAAGGGCTTTTAAAGAAACTAAACGAGAAACACTTTGCTTCCGTGAAAGTACAGAAAATCTTAATCTCATGTCAAAAAGTATTACGATTTGTTGGTGCGCAATGTATGCAACGTAAAAAGTGGCTGTGTATAAAAATACAACTTACGTGATTGGTTCTTTGCATTCAAATGGTGTGTAAGAAGGTTTTTCATCTACTTAGCGTCTATGAGCAACGCCTAATGTAAGGCATGGCTTCTTTGCTTCCATTTACAAAGGTCTACCCATTCAAGTAGGCAGCAAGGTTAATAGAAATATTATTTGGTCTAAACTTCACCAACGACTAATTGCAGTAAAAAAAATCCTGCACAATTTTGATTGCAGCTCGACAATAAGTAAAGTAAAAAAACTGTCGACTATTTAATTTAGCCGACACCGATCATAAGCAGAACGCAGCGAAAGCGAAATGGTGCTAGTAAGACTTAACATTTGACATCAATTTTGAATCCATTTGAACATAATGCGACAAACAAGGAGACAGTCACAGTCCCACTCAATGCCGCGCAAATGATTTTGAACGAAATGCTTAATGAGTGCTTATCAGTGCCTGTGTAGTTTCTTTTCAGCATCTTCACTCTCAATTTGCTTAAAACCATGTGGTGTGAAAGTGCGAAATAAACTTAAAAATGGACAAATTTGCCTTTTTATTAAAGTTGTTTCCGTGTAGCTTTTATCCCCTTATATACAAATAGCGTTTTTTAGTTGTGGAAGCTGGAAATTCCACAACCTCTTCATCATTACGTTCAAAAGTAAAATCTTACGAACGCTGTTATTCTTGTATAATATGGGACTTTTAGATATTTGATTTTATTGAATTTCGCAAAATTTATAGCTATACTTTTATTAGTACTTGAAGTAGTTTTCGTGATTAAATTCGAATGAAAGCTTTCGAAATGACTGAAAAGTCTTGCGCCTCGTTTGATCGATAAAAATAAACGATACCTGAATTCTGTAAACTATTAATTATTTCGACAGATATGTTATTTTTTTGAAAAGTTGATGCGCCTTTTATAGCAATAAAATGCGATGAGGTGTATGAGTCGTATGCTCTCACCGTAGCCTCCACCATAGTTAAATTCAAGTGACCAGATTTGGATTAGAGCCATGAAGACCATTCTACATTTGGTATTGCCAATTTGGTCATCAGGAGGTAATGAAGTTTCTTTATCAGTCACCTGCATCTTTTTGTGGTGAGGATGAGGTTGTGATAGTTTTGAAGCAGACTGAATTGCTCCACATCTGAATATACTGATGTCATGAATGGGGTACAGCATGCACGTACAGCGCAAAAAAAAGCGCAAATTTACTCACGTTTTATGTTCAACCCGCAATTGACGCCCAACGTGCTTAATGAAGGTGTTCTTGGGGAAGATGAAATTCTTTACACGTGGCCTCCATAATACGGTTACTTTGTGAGTGTGTACGCGTGTGTATGGCTTCTTCTATAAAAAGCAATCGAAATGCCCATCAACTGAACACTTGGTGTTCACTCACTTTGATTTGCCCAATTGAGTGACTGTAGGGAGCATTTGTGTGGTTATAAGTTCCTAAAAGTAGAAGAGATTTCGGCCAAGGTAATAAATTGTTTAAAGTAACTAATTTGTAAGAAGTGGACCGAGCTTTAACGAAAACAAGAGGAGCTAATGGTTAACTTGAAGTGTGACGTGTGTCAAAGTGGAAAGTGAGGGTCATTAACACCAGGGCGAGTGCTGTTGCATTTTTTCAGGCACTGGGCAATGTGGCACGATGGTGTGTCAGTGATTATTCCTCTGTGTTCCGGAAGGACAAAAGGTAAAGAACGCTCCCACCCAGCACCATCCTTCTACGCGCGGGATGGCTAGTTCGGAAATGACCGTGATGCCGTAAAAAGTGTTCACTTCCGGGTAAAAATAAATCCCACCGAGTGGAATGTAGATGCAATGGTACACGTGCTTGGGAAAATTAATGACTAATGGGTCTTTAAGCTAGGAGGGAATTTCTGCCCATTTACTGCAAAACCACACCCGCACTTGAAACTTGATCAACTGGATCTTGTCTAAGATTTACTGAACTTTTTGCACATCTTTAGGGATAAAGAAGAAGAAAATTTGAGATCTTTTACAGGAAGTATTTCAAGAACGTAGGTGACGTGGTTTGATGCAACAAATCGACCCGACTTTTAGGTGCTCACACCTTTTATTTAAAAAAAATATCAGTCTGTTTATGCACGTAATGACCTCGATTTCATGATAGGTGAAGTGATTGTAGATCCACTGTTAATTTAAGGTCAGTTGATTTAATCCGAGTAGCCAGCGCGCCTCTGTTAAATGCTCTGCATTGAAGCCACAGAGACTGCGATGTAAAAGGGGAATTTTCTACCACCATTTCAAGTCTTTACTTACAAACATGAACCTCAGCATACTTGCCACCCTTTTTCTTAATTTTTGTTTTGTCCAGATGCAACAGCCTCGAACCCTTTGCTACAGCATCAGAAGTGTCGAAGAGTGGGAGTTTCAGCCCTTTCACATCAGGGTTTCAGCACACCAGAAAATTAAAAAATATATACGCATGCTCCACTCACATGAAGAAGTATGACCTCCTTCCAATGTGGTGGGATTCAGAGGAACAAATTTTCAATTGTCCATGATCCGAGTTAAGAAACATTTTCCATTGCTATTTACTACCATGCATAAAAATGCATGATGATTGCGCAGTTGTGCGGCATCATCTGACAACTTACTAATCATCATCCACCACCTTTGCCAGCCCACAGTGCAACCTGCGTATAATTTAATTGGGAAAATCGCTTCATATCCGCACTTTAAAATGCAGTTTTAAATAGAGGATTCCACGGTAAAGCACACACCTGAGTATGCTTACAGCCAAGGAAGTGAAAAAATCCAAATTTATAATTTGCGGCTATGGTCCGTCATAACAGGAAAGGGCTGATAAAGTGGGTTGGAATTTCGAGTCACCATACAAGTATGGATCGAATAAAAAAAATTCAGCAAATTACTCAGAAAAGTAGCTGTACTTTACTAACTGCAAAATAGTAAAACATAATGCATGCTAATAAAAATGCAAATTTTGAACAAACAATTTGGTTCCAAAGACCTTATTAACTGTAAAATGCAAAAATAATTGCAAGTCACAATCCAACCTAATCCAAGCTAGTAAAGCTACTAATATAAGTAGATATAATAATAATATATTGACATCCTTTCGAAAGACAACTTTGAGATGACCCTCATTTTTATAAAAAAAGCGCGCACAAGACAAACAAAGAGTGTATTTCTGTAGGTCATGATGCAGCAAAAGGGCCTGTGGGTCAAGCTCAAGTAGTGTCGATGCCGCAACGGGAAGTAATCCATTTTTAACGCAAAGTTGGGACCTAACTATAATAACATGCCGTTACTTATTAAGTTGACTAAAAATTTTAAATGACTGTCAAATGCACTTAAAATAATGTAAAACTGCTTCACAGCAACTGCATATAAATTCATTTTAAGATGGGCACCTTACAAGCCCTTCTATCGAAAGTCTTTGTCTAACACTAAACGCATAATACTTTCTAGTGTTGAGTCTGTTGAATGTTGGGATGCGTTATTTTTGGTAGACAAAGATTATCTGATTTTTCGTGAAGCAATATTCGTCCACTTTTCGACTGGAAACGATTGCTTTGCGATTACTTTATTCATCGTTCAAAAGGAGAACAGGCGATTGCATATGAATAACTTCCTCACTAAACCTTTATTTTGCACCATACAAAAGTTACTATCAAAGTACTCACATTCCTAATGCCTCTTACATTGGGTTGTTGGGGCTTCTCCCTATTCCTACTAACTGGTAGTGCGTATTGCTTTGAACAAATGCCTTATATCTAATTTTTAGAGGGTTTAATTGGATAAAAAGTGGCTTCTACTCTTTTGTTTGTGCAATGATTTATTTGTGATCGGGCGGTGCTCATTTGGGCAGCTTAGCGTGGTTTCATTTTGTCTTCGTGTCCTTTAATAGTGATTATTTCCGGTGTTTTAACTAAAAAAATGAAAACTTGGAGAAAGTGAATGCCTTTGTTTAATTCCACAGATGCAATGTAGCTGCTTATTTGATGATAGAAAAAGCGGATCTAGAAAAGTCTTATGCAAGATTTTAGAGGCAAAGTATCAACGGTAATGGTGAATGAGTTGTTCATCTTTACTTTTCCAAGCTTGGAGTTCAGATGTCCCTGCAAGTGCTCAATCCCCTTCCCAGTCCTCGCTGCACACCCCTATTATCACCTAGCAACCGATTTGAATGTCGCTGCTCCTCCACTGAATCGGCGGGGTCGGAGCACCTGGGCTCCACCTCAGAAAGTCCGTCCACCTCAAGGCGGCAAGAGACCACCTACTTTCCAACTGCCGTTGCTATCTCAACTACCGCCTCGGCCACTGTCACCTCCGCTGCCAACCAATCCAGACGAGTGCGATTTCGACCACCTCCCACAAGCACCACCAACGCAACAGAGACGGCGCCAGAGGACGGTCCCTGTACAGGGGAAAAGAATGAGGTTTGTGTAAGTCAAGCCACTAAAAGGTTCTACAAAATTTAACGAGTTATAAAATTTTAAGTCAGAATTTTGATGAATAGCTGAATAGTACTTAACCAAGCGAGGTAGATACAAAGGATGTGGCGCCTTGGTTTATGCACTGAAATGTAGTTTACGTAAAAGAGGACGAAAGGCTTCTCGTTCGCACTCATTAGAAGGGTCCGCATGGATTGGATTACCTTTTTACACACTAATGAAACGTTTTTTTTAGGGTGGTGTGTTGATCCTGATGAAATGGCAGTCTTGTTTCTCCAAACGGCTCGACTAAAAAAAGGACCTGCAGGCTCAGTACACCTCTTGATTTACCAATGTCTCCTTGCTGATTCTTTGCAAATTAATAACAATGGAATAATCTCACACCTTACCATCGATTATAGATTATTAAAGTTGCTAGTGTCTGCACTGCCATTTGTTGTTTATCCCCCAGGTGACGTTTTAGTATGCAACTAGGTAAATTATGGAAAAAATTCTCTTGTTTTCAACATCTGGAGACGGAAGTAAAGGATCTTTGCTGAGGTGACCCAATTAAGCAAAGGACTTTTGCTCCTTCCCTTTGATTAACGGAAATTCGACTGAGTGAATCTTAGACTTGACGCATCAGTCACCCTTCTGTTGGAGCAGTTGGTGCGTCTCACTCTCTGACTTATGTGACCTCGGTCACAATTTTGATCCCAAACAAACAATAAGACTTCACAACCACAAGATCTTTGCAGTTGCTGATATGGTTTCCGGTCCAGTTGCCAGAAGTAAAGGAGTGTAGCCGTTCACATTTTGAATGACAAAAACTGTAGCAGATGAGTTAAAATACAAAATTAGCATTATTGAATAAATGCAAAACGAAACCCACCTGACATTTCATGAGAATGTGGGATCAAAGGAAGGCCCTCATGAAGTGTAGCTTCAGCATTCCATGGGTAGATGTTTAAGTATATCATTGAGATGAATGAACTACAGATGACTTGAAAGCATTTATATTAACCTATGCCAGCTAATCGACATAATACCTGTGGTATTGCAATCATTCGCCTGGGATGTGCTCACTTGCATTATAATATGCGCCCCAAAATATGTCGGTCGGTCCAACAATTGTTAGTAGCAAGAGGAAGCATTAATGGATATGCGTGCGCGGTACAACATTCGCTGATTATGCTACTCACGCAAAATGGCATTGGTAACCGTGCCGCACTGGCATGATTATTAAATTGCAATTTATTATTAAATTGCAAATACATCCTTATATCTGTCATGAACTGCGACAATTTCAGCAAGAGGAAGTTCTAGTCATCCATTACCCCAGAAGACAATTTTTTTTCCATTATTTTTCCGTATAGTGATTGGATGATCTAGATCAACGTCAAATCTCCTCCTCATTGAATTACAGTTTCAAAAAATGCTTGTATTTTATTAAAACCTAGAGGGTTTGAAGTAAGTTTCCCTTTTTTACATCCACCTCCTCTTTTAGACGAGTGACACTCCAGTCAAATTCCTTCAGGTGCCTACAATTCTCGACCCATCCACCGCCTCTACCATTGCAGAAGGCACCTCCACCCCAACCGTCGTTAGAGCCAATCATATCGCTCGGCTCCACCATCCTGTCAAACGAAAAGTCTCCCCATCTATCGGCATCAAAATCAATCCTGCTGACTGCCCCACAGATGTCATTGTAGCCACGGCGACTACTGTTGCTGACAATCCCTTCACCACTGCAGCACGGAAGGTTAATGTTCTCCAAAGACAAAGCACGGTGGAGGAGAAAGGGGTTGGTGGTAGTAGTTCTGGTGGTGCAAAAATTGCTCAAGGTTCGTATTCATTAACCTTAAGTGAGTTCATCTGATGGGAAGAGAGAATACAATGACCAGTTGGGCTTAATAAGTTGATTTTTTTAAGTAAATTGGGCCTCCATAAGACTGGAATTTGAGGGAACCAACTGAGTCAAGAAAATGAGAGGTTAAATTACCAACTAAATCTGCTCATTTTGAGCCAGCACATCTTTGAAGACCTAGTTGATCATTCCTCAAATTTTCTTAAAGATCGTTCCGGCCGGATGTCTCTGCGGCCCTCCCTCATGCTCAACGCTCTGCGCGGTGTTCAGCGAAGCACCGACGAGACGGCTGTTGTTGGCACTGGCAGTATCGGGGGGAGTGGAAGCACAATTCTTCCTAATGGGGTCATCAAATCTCTCACATTTGATTCCTCCACTGCACCTCCTGATAATCCAACTCGTCGACTCACACGTTTCTCCAATCTCCTTCGTGCTCCTTCTGAAATTGTCTCTGACCCAGATCTCGAAGCCACATCCATTTCAGCCAATCTAGAAGCTTCCAATGATTATTCCACTGATCACAGAGCCCTTCTCATGGAGGTTCTTTGCTATTGCTGTTGCTGTTGCTGTAATGATGGTGTCGGTGGCCGTATTAGTGGTGGAGGTGGAGGTAGGAGGTCCGATAATAACTCCGCTACCGGTGGACATCGTCGTCGAATGCATCGAGATAGTGGTGGTGCAGGCGGAGGCAGCTCCGACCGACGTGGAGACTACGCTAACCTGATTGAGAATCACAGATTGGCCCGACTAGTCACGTTACTAGCAGTGCTTGCGATTCTGGGCCTTGTGCTCACTTATATTATAAAACTGATAGTGGAGCAGCAACAGCAGCAACACCAAGTGACAACCCCAACTCCACAGTTGTTTACCCAAAATTCAGGTACATAAGTTGCCTACATCACTCAAGCTCCTATTATTCATTCCACTCTTACAAGCAGTATTATGTCCTTGTACAGCAATTACAGGCTCCTTTCCTCCATTACTATTTCGACGTGATATTTGACAAATCGAAAATTAAATGGAGAATACCCTAAACCCCATTTGTTCAGTAAACTCTGCACGCAACCACCAGCAAGCAAGCAAATCAACAAGCAAGTATGTATTTTTTGTTACCCAGTATTATAAAACAGATGTGACTACAATTAAATGTGTTGGTCAAGATCTGGTGGGAAGAGAGTTCATATACCGGACAGTTACAAACTTGAAAATTCGGCATTGAAATAAAACATCTGTATGGAAATTATCATTCATGTTAGATGCGTTTCGAAGGTCCTACTTAAATCATTATAAGTAAACACGAACATTCAACGGTGTACTAATGAAGACTTTACGCAAACGAATGCCGATAATTCGAGGGGAAAGGGTTAGCTAGAAATGCTTAAGAGATTACTCATCGTAAGGTCGCCATGCAATAATATTCTCAGACATCAACTATAAGAAGGAATGGAAGTGGTATTTAGCACGCAAAGATCATCAAAGCTTATCATTTGAGGCAGAACACCATGGCAAAAATATCATTGAGGTCGTCAAACAGCATAAAACTGTTACAAACAAAGTATGCACAAAGTAAAACCGTGGTTATGCAAAATATGAAAGAGGACTGACACTGTTACACACTTCTGTGATACACCAGTTGACCAAACGTTGCCTAACATTTTAAGGCTCCCAATTCGCAGTACTTAGAATCCAACACAGTTAAATGTATATTTAAAAAGTATAAGCAAACCAACACACCCAATGCTACCAACTATTTATGCGAGAGACTAATCTATTCTTTCAAGCTTTTCGAAAATCAACACAAAAAGTATAACCTATTGGATTGGCTTTAGGCAAAGGACTACAAAGAACTGCGCTTACGTAGAACAAATTCAAATGCCTGTGGTCTCCTAATTTGTTATTGCACAAACGCGAACTGTATTACAGAATTAGCATTTTAGCCACAAAACAAAAAATGAGATTATAAAAACATTAAATTCTGTACTGTTCGAAAAATCATTCATGTAGACGAATTCACAAACTTTGATTTATTTCGCTTTCAGAGGAGATTAGAGCCCGCTATAAAGGCAAAACCAACCTAGAAATTGTAACAGAGAATGATATTTAAAAAATTGAACAAGGAACTGAGACACAATATCGCCGTCCCAATCCATAAACCTCGTGTTCACAGATATCGACTCCAGAGCCTGTTCAACTGTTCGCACACACTGAACTGGATGCTCCTTGAAAAAGGCCTAACACCAGAGACAACATAGTCAGTCTAGCGATCAGGAAAAACGTCAGGTATAAAGACAACTCGAACTCACATCAACCTCCTCGTAGTCGGCCTTGGTGCAAAAGCCTTTGCAGCACGCCTAAGGCATAAACAGACCACGTGACTTCAGGTGCAAAGTGCCGCACCGAGTTGCAATGCATAAAGCACAATAGGCAATCAACTTGGCGAATATGAGGTCAACAGATCGCTCCATTGACAAACATCAAAACATCTCACACCAACCTCTGAATTTCGAATTAAGTAGGCCACAGCCAACACCGACGTAGCCACACCCGTCACCCGCCCCCTGACAACTTCCCACACGATCC